AAAGCACACCCTTTAAAACCCCAGGGTCTTCCATCTCCGAAGTCTGTCCTCTTCTTGGCTGGAGAAGGGACAGCTAGAAAAACAGCCTTACTAATGCCTTTGGAGGTTTACTGCACATTGCATTGTCTAAAAACGCAACACGTCATTAAGTTGCTGATGACCCAGAGCTGTTTTTCAGTTTACTATGGGCTCACGCCTCTCCCATAGCTGCTTGCTTGTGCATTATAGGAATAACAGCCTTTTGAAAAGAGTCTGAAGCTGTCAATTTCATATGCCTGAGACTCCTTTGCCTGGAGACACGGGTTCTATGAACATGCCCATTTTGAATGTTTAAATAAATTTATCAGTAGTCAGGTGAGCGATGATGTGTTTCTGTAGACCTGACAGAATTGTGACATTTGTCATTGGCTTCCCATGACAGGATTCCCTTAACACAACATGCAGGGCTGGGCCTGAGTATTCTGGCACCCTAGGCAAGATTCTGTTGAGTGCCCCCCTCCCCCCACCCCCCAGAGAAACAGAAAACAAATTTTGTCAATTCCTTTATATTAAAAACATTTCAGCAGCTTGGGGTATGTGGCTGCTAATTAGTTAGCTCGCGTTTGTTTCACAAGAGAAGTAGTGAAATATTTAAGTTACAGTGTAACTAGCTGTAATATCACAGAATGCAACCAGAGGTGTTCTGACTTTTTTTCACTTGCTCTTTTGCGCCCCCTAATGAAATGGGTCCCTCTGCTATTGCCTATGTCGCCTAAAGGGCAGCCCTGCCCTGGCAAAATGACATGTTCCCTTTAAAAAAAATGTATGCGTCACCGTACTTAGGACAACCGCCTTCTGAATATCTTTTTCTTAGTCTGGTGAAACTAAAATAAAATCAGTTCTAGTATATAAAACTTATCATTGTTATAAAATCTGACAGCCAAATTGATCATGCCAGATAAGAATTTTAAAAGCAATATTTGCCCAAATTCTGTAATTATACTGAATAAACCAAAACATTCTGTTTTACACATTATTGAGTGAGCAGGCTTGTTTATGTAGAGTGTTTACTCTCTTTAGCATATGGTTGCTTCCCAGCGGTATAGGGAAACAATGCTAATCTCTTTTGTTCTACCAGGGAGCCATAAATCAACAAATAAAACCCATAATTAATTAAAAGCCAGTTTAAGCTGTGCCTGTCTGTGCACTTCATGTTATTTAACAAGAGAAAGTGTAAATGAATAGATCAAAAATTAACTGTGCTTCTTGCTTAGTTGTATAGCCAAGGAATACGATATCTGCAAGTCGAACCTAAAGGTTCACCATGGGATCATCGGATCTGAATTCTTCATTTTATATAATAGCTTTATAACTGTTTGAACAACGTATGTGTTGTTAAAATTAACAGATCAATGAAAAAGACCGCCACTTATGCAATGTTAGTATTTAGAAAATAAATTATACCAAAGACCACCGATTATATAAAGTCCATTTTAAAGCATCACTTTCTGATATATGATGATCACATTATTGGATTAATCAGCTTTAACATGAGGATGTAAACCATACATGTTCGTGCCAAGTCTATTTTGACCTCAAGGAGAGAAGATATATACCATTTCTGAATAAAGACAGTCGTGATTGAAGAGGCAGATCATCATTCCAGATGTATTTCAAAATATATAGCTGATGAAACGGACTTTAGATTAATGTGCATTTCACGATCTGACATTTCTCATGAATTCTGTCAATGCACGTTATGCCAATGTTTATTGCATGTGCAGTATTTTTAACATGTAGAAATGGAAGATGCTAATTTTAAATGAGTGGAGGTAACACGTTTAAAACAATAGATCAAAATCTGGTTTTGAAATGAAGATTCTAAACAGACCAACGTAGAAAAATTACATTTACCAATTAACGTTTTGTTACCTTAATATTTAAAGCACACCAGTTAAGGTGTTTAATTGATTTGGCTTTGTGAAACGAACAGCGTTACGGCCATCCACTTTAGACTGCGCCGTTCGTATATCATGTGCCCTTTTAACACGCTCCTGTTTTGAGTGGCGCAATACGTTTCTATTAAACGTTATTAATTCGTAAAGGGTGAGGAGTTCTCATTTGTCTTGTCAGGATGTCTGATATCCTCGTTAGCTCCCATTTTCCTCCTGTCAGCTCACAGCGTGCTACATACACTGACTTCCTCCTATCAAAATGACAAATGTGCTGTTTTATCCATACAATTTATTTCGTTATTGTTGCCAGCACAGAACATCAGAATCAATCACAGGGAAATGCAGTTGGCAGGTGTCAATCCTGGCATTTTTATCCGTCCTCGCCTATATTTAATCCAATTACAAGGGTCAGGGAATAAGATCAAATCCCCCTGTTGCAACTCAGTTTGTATTCTTGATTTTTAATGCATAGTCGCCGTACTCTCTGCACAATATACAACTTTAGGACTCGTTTAAAGTCTCCAGATCTTTCAGAAGAAGAGTTCTTAATTATTAAGATGGGTGTCTCGAATTGAAATATGAATCCATGTACAATTTTTTGGTATTTTACAAATGGAAAAAGCTTAATGATGGAATAAATTTCCGCCCGCTGCGCTTTCAGATACAATTGTGGATCGAACCCCGGCTTGTCACGTCGAGCAAAAGTGGATTCCTAACATCCAGGACGTGCCTGTCTACTTTGAACAAATTGCATCCAATCACCCCGGGGGAATTCAGCTAATGTCTCCGTCCAAAGCTGGGGTGGGGGGAGCGAAGCTCTGGAGAGACCGAGGATTATTAAGATACTTAACAGAAAAAAGAGGTTTTGTGAAGAGATGATAAAATAACTTGCACAGTTTCTTAGGAATAATTACCATCGCCATGTGACTTTATAACGTACATTGCAATGGTTTAAATACAGAAAAAAACGTGCAGTTCTGGTGCATGCGTTGTTTAAATGTACCAACTGTCTGTAACTTTGCCTTGTTGTTGGTTGGAGTAATTAAGGTCCAAAATGTTGCGTTGGTATGTTGGAAGTTGTTGCCAGTTTGACACGTTGTTATATAAAATGTGTAACAAATTAGACATTTCGACCCGGAACATCATATGTGATTCATATTAGGGCTCACTGGTCTTCACACATACCTCATAACCAACGCATTCACTCAGTTTAGCTTCCTGGTTGCCGGTATTATTCAGCAACGTCGTCTTGAGATTCACTTTTTATTACTGTAACCACAGAAAACAAGTGGCTCGTGATGCACTTGTTATTATTGCAGGGCTTCTGCAAAGCTAGTGAATTAAGACTGATCATCATATTGTTTGTTTTCATTTCTCTCATTCTGAATGAACACAAGACTGATGCACCATATTCATTGTCAGTTTAAAACAATTTATGTTTTAATTGTAACATACACAATTATGTGAAAATTGGTTAATTTCCTACTGTTGGTATTGTACTAATACGAGTTTTTAGGCAATTCGTAGTAAATACATTTACACATCTAAAATATTGTCACAGTGATTAAATATTTAACTTTTATCAATTACTATTTAGATATAAATCTTTTAGCTTTTTTTTACTCATATGGTAGCGCAAAATGCCAGCGTAATATATATATATTAGTAAATAAACATACTCAATAATTTATATATTTATTATTCAGGTAACACGATGCAGTATTTCCAATAACAGATTTCCAGGTCGTATCCCTCAAGGATATATTTTGTTTAATATGTAACCATGTCATGTTACTTTGTGTACACATACACAAAATAAGAGAGAGAGTTACATGGATTTGGGGGCAGAGGGCCAGAAGAGGCAAGGCCGGTTGTACAGATTTCAGTTCACGCCTGATCAGGTTCTGGAGTGCGGAGCAGCACAGAGAGGGAAAGGCAGCACCTGGCCAAGCTTTAGCATCCCATCTGATTTTATTGACAGCCTGATAAGGCGACCAAAGCCGTGAGGTTTCCAGCGTTGCTCTCGAGAACCCTGCTGCGTTGCACGGTTTCACGGTCCCTTAATGGTAGTTACTCCAAATAATCAGCCAAACACCTTTCTGGCAACTCCGTCCCTACACTGCCTTTTAAAGACCGCCAACTGACCACCCATTTCCTGACAAACCTGCATCAGTGCGGTTGCACATTTACTCTGTGTCTTGTGCAAATTGACAGTTACATTAAACAGCTTTGTAGATGGTGTCCTCTTGCTTCCATTTTAAAATGAACCAGGGTACACTATAGAACAGCACAAAATTTTGGCGTCACCTCATTTTAGAGAATTGATGTAATTATGATGTAGGCCTGTTCATATAATGGTTTTTATATAATAAACCTAAAACATTAGGAAGTTACTAAAACATTTCCATTAAAGAGTTAATTTCGTAGCAAAAGAATTGCAGAAGGTTTTTTACATTATTCCGGTCGATATATCAATTTGTAGTTATAAGAACTATTGAACAATTCAGGGAAATATGTACAACACAACATATACTGTAAATGGCGTGCTTTTGAGTCGTTTTCACTTGCCCCTCTCTTTGATTTACTGGTTACCACATTAGCTCACGTATCCTACCAGAAGGAGCAATTTGATTTTCTACCTGACGGACTCTATTCAATAAGCAAACTGAGGACTCCTAATCGATGTTTGCTTTACAGATAGCCACAAAGAGAGCGGTAACTATTATGACTACTGAAATCAAAAAGAGGTGTTACAGAAATGCATCTACACAAACACACATTTAAACTTTAGACAGACCTGTTGTTGGCTTGGTGTTATGCGGGATAAAAGAAACTCTATACAAATAACGTACATCAACTCTATGTAAACAAACTATCAAAATATCATTCATTAATTGATTTATTAGTTTATAAAAGTTACATTATATTTAAAATATCATTCTGAGTTAAACTGAAAATATATAACGTGAATTGAGTGGATGGGTGTGTGAGTGCGCGCGCGCGTGCGTGTGTGTGTTTGTACTATATCTGTGTAGGTGCCTGTTTTACCTATACATTTATCCTGTTAACGAAATTATAAGTTCTGTACAAGGGTGACGTCGAACTGTCCCTTCAGACAATCACTGCCAAGTCGAGGCTAATATTAAGGCAAAGTTAGTGGTAAGGAAGGCAGCGTGGTTTATCCTCAATGACATTTAAACTCTGTTAAGCAACAAAATGTGAAAACCTGAACATCGACCTTACCAGCTGTTACCGATATTTTTCTACAGTGGAAACAAGTACTGGAATCATTAAATCAACGACTAGATTTTCAGGTAAGTTCTAATTTTAATTTAATTAAAGTAACCAAAACTACAGCAACTAAAGCTTTATTCATTCACTAATGTAGAGACATTATCAAAGTCATAGATTTGGGTACGGACGGTACGGACATGTCTCTACTAATGTTATGGGAGTACTGTGTGTGTTTAGGGGGGCGGGGGTTCGGGGCTGTTTTGGTCCCTGATAATGCTGAAACCAACACTACGCCCTTGGACTTTAGCGGCCTGCCACTTTTGGCCAGTCGGTTGAAGTTGGCTGCCGTGTTCCTTGCCTTTTCCAAGTCAAAATATGACTTAACGAGCTGGAATTGTGGAAATTCAAAAAGTAAATGTCACGACAAAGCTCGTATTTGCTGTACCATCCTATATCATGGATTCCGATTGAAGCTTCTGGTTCCTTATCGCATTACATGTTATACAGGAAGTGCAAACATTATTCAGAGCGGCCTTTGAGTTGTTCACCGCAAGCATAGACCGGAATATTAGCTATTTTAGAACTGCAAAAGTTTTGAACGTAAGACCATTCAGTATCCTAACGAAACTAAGAGGTCGACCAGGTCGGGGAGCCGGGTTCTGTAGGTCTTAACACAAACTGTACTTAATACAAAATACAATCTAAACTTATTATGATAAAATCGAACAATCTGAATAACATGAACACGGATGCCGAAAGAATTAGGCAATTGTAAAAACAGGTTAATCACTAAACGTTCTCATACTTATCCTTTTTATGCCAATTAATGTGATAAACTGAAGAATATAGTAGTACCATCAGCACAATTCTGAATGTCAACATGTAACTATCGTAAGTATGTCTGGTGCGGTCATTTTATGAGAACAGCAAGAAATAACTGCTAACAGTCACAAAAACAAAATAAAATAAAGTGAAAACAAAATAAACCAGAGACTAAAAAAAGCTAGCTAGAATAACAAGATAAAAGATATGTCTTATTTACATGTATCATACATTAAAGAAGGAAAAAGAAATCCATAGAAGATATTCTATAGTACGCAAAATTACTTAAATGTAATATAGACACAATGTGACAAATCAGCAAGAGAAGAGAATACTTGCAGGTAATAAATGGAGCACCCTGCATTGAAAGCCACCTCGCTAATTAGAGATGTTTATTGAGGATAGTGTTTATCCAGCTGTCATGCCGCGAAAGAAAGCTGTGACGACGAGATTACCTCCGACCAGACAGTCTTTTGCCAGGATATATATATATATATATATATATATATATATATATATAT